AATTTTATTCCAACAAGCAGCAGAAATTAACCTATCGGGCTTGCGATGCTTGCTTGGAATAAAACTTGTATTTTGAACTAAAATGATAGGCAAGCAGTTCTCACTGGGTTGCTTGGTAATATACTTCATTTTTGTATTTTTGAATTTTCGCGGGCGTCAATCGATTTTCTGGTGCAGTCGAGAGCACTACTCAGTGCGTTTTACCTGTCAATGTGTCAGCCATCTTGTTTCGCCAGTGTGGTTAATATAATACCTAATACCTTAGGTGAAAAGATTACGACCCTCGCCTTGCCCGCGATCTGTCAGGATGACGCGAGAAAGTCTTTTTACGTATGGGATAGTGGTTTGCTGGACGCTGAGAGACTCACACAGAGCAGTAGCGTAGCGTAGGGGGCGGCAGGGGCGGCAAAATTACGTTTTAGGGGCGGCAAAATTTGACAATAAATAATAATAATATCTTGTAAGAATTTGAACCATTTTATTTCATATTTTCGTCCACCTACGATTCGGACCGATTGAAATGAGCACGGAATAGTGGGAATAGTGTTACCATCCGACTCGCCGTCCAGGGATATCGTGCGCTACCTGTCGACCTTTTTTGTTTTTTTTTTTTCCTCGTACGATTCACTCGTACTCATATACACCTCCAATATCCAATAGGGCTAAGTCATCTACATTACTTGTGTTACTCCTACCCAAGTCTCCCTAGTCGCTAACTGTAACTGATTTAGAACCAGCATGCACTGCAAATTATTCTTCATTGCAAAATGATATATGCATGCGTCAGGAACTTCTGTTCGAACAAATCTCATCTGCCGTCAGGGTCGGCGATTTTAAAAAGGTGGCAACACTAGCACGGAATTTTTCATTACTTATTCTGTGACGAAACTGAAATACCTAAATAAAGGGGCGGCGAAATTTTCCTCCGCTCCGGGCGGCTGACACCCACGCTACGCCATTGACACAGAGACCGAATTTACAAAATTAACGCGTTTATTTTTAGAAAGACATGCTTACAATGATCGAAACAATGGTCTGTCCAGTGAAAAGATGGTGTACCAAACGATGGAGAGCCCTTCCCAGGGGCACGTGAATCACACACCAGAAAAAGTTCTCCTGCGTCGGTTGTAGAGGGTTTTCCTTTTACCCGTTTGGAGGAGGAAGTGGTAGCAAGGTCCACGTAGCACAAGATCACGGCGTTCGTTCACGATGTTTCGTTGGGAAGTTAATTCCCTAGTTCGTACCGTGGAGAAGTCTGCGGCGGGAAGGTCGGTCCCTAACTTCTGCCGTATTTAGTTCGCTATCCTTTACTCCTGCAATCCCGATCTGTGTCGACCGGACTGTTTTCTTCCAACCTCCCCGTGTCCTCGGAGCTATAACTAGAGCATGCTTAAAAGTATTTCCTAACGATTCCTCCAACTTCCATCAAACCTAAACGCGTTTTCTCAGCAGCTGAATATATGTTCAACAAATTGAGAAGCAGATTTGGTGATGAGACACTGAATGCGTTGTTATTTCTCAGATCATATTTTAGCAGTTCAAATTAGAATGTTCCTATTAAGTTAGTTTTCTTTATATTTAAGAAAAATGTGACTGATTAATATTATTTTTAAATACTTTTTGCTAAGAAACTTATTATACTACCTACTTACTAGGTTGTTACATGAATGTCGTCTATTTAGTCGATGTTAAGAGATATTTTTGTTAATTTTCAACGTTTATTTGCATAGTTTGTTACATAAAGGTTTTTTCAATTTATGTAAGTTTAAAGAGATCTCAGTGATGCTTAAAAAAGAATAACTTTAACATGAAAACAGTGATTTTAAGTCTGGTTAGTCTGACTCTAAGTCTGATTAGTTAGAGTAATTAAATTAGCTAGGTGTATACCGTAAAATACGTTGATTTTTATCTAAATTTTGATTTGTTGATTTCTGTAAGATTTACTTATTTTTTTATTAACCCTCAATACCGAAATAATCCCAGGATCGACTAAGTATAATCCCGAAATCCTGGGATTAGAAATAAGGACCGGGATCGAATTCCCTACTAGTATCCTAGTGCTTTATAAACTTAAATATTTTTAAAATAGATTTTTATCATAATTCAACGAAATTACTCCTTTTAATCTTTTTTTATTATTTAAATTTTATCTTAGTATAATTGAAAATTATCGGACTTCCTTTCTAGTCCTTTAACCTCCTGTACGAGTGCCAAGAAAGTCGAGCAAGAACTCTTGCCAGCTTTTTACAATCATTTAATTATTAAATTACGAAAATATTATTTATTAATATTTTCGTAATTCGGATAGACCATAATTCAGGAAGGTCAAAATACTCCCAACAAAGCGGGATTTCCCCAGTTTCAAGGATCCTGCGTGTTTCCCTTTAGAGAATATAAATTTATATTAGTTGTTTACTTGCGAAATATGCTTAAAGCTTAATATTATCTTCGTTTCTAAAGACGTAAGCGAAATTTTCAATAGAGAACACGCAAGTTGATACTCAGAAATAATCTGAGTATTCTAAGTAATCAGACTTTAATTTCCTAATAATAAACATACAAAATGTACTTTATAATGTATCGAGCATAAAATTTTTTAAGATTTAAGACACGAAAGTAAAAGGAAAGATTTAGAAGCCAAATAGTCATAGCTACTATTCAATTTTCCCAAGATTTTTATTGATTCGTACTTTAAACTTGGTTTCAATCTGAATCAAGAGCAATTAATCTAATGCTTTTGGTCCAGATTGAACAGATTAAAATATTAGATATTTGATAATGATAAAAATTATTAGCTCGGCTGATCAGTAACGAAAGAGCTTTTAAAATTTACGAATTTCTTATAACTTAAAAATAAGAAAATAATTTTCATTATCTATTATTGTTTTTGTTAATTTTTTAATTGAAAAAGTTTTAAAAAATCAAATTATGTAATGAAAAGACTGAATTTTTAGAGACATTTTAAGCAATATCTTAATAAATTGTGTTTAAAAATTTGACTTAATAATTTATATAATAATAAATCTATTACTCGACTATAATTCTATTACTCGACAGTTTAAACATTTAACAAGAAATTCTGTCTAAAAATATTTAATATTCTTAACGAAAAGAAAATGACAAATTTATATATTAAAAATTTAACTTATTTTAGTTTCGTAAGCTCTTGTCTGCCTGATTCAAATGAATTTTAAAGTACATTGAATTATTTTTTTATGTATATTATCCTGTAACAAAATCATCAATATTCGTTCAATCAATTCCATTCGATTTGCATAATCAATCATAAATTATCGATATTAATTGATAATCTATGATTGATTATCAGCTTCTATAATGTAAATTACTTCAATTTATCGGCAGTCTTGATTTGTTAACCATATAATGTTTAATTATTGCTAATTTTCCTGAAACATCAATTCCTCCATAGATGTAAATTCGATCAATTTTTTTTTACTGATACCATAGCGTGAATCCTATTATTAAGTCGAAGATTCTCCGAGGTCCGTTAATTCGAATTTATAATTATTACATGCATAACTTGCCAAAAAATATAAACCTCTTTATCAGAACTGATATTTGTCTGTTTCGTAGAAAACAAACCCAGAATACTTTATTTACAGTATTTACTTTTTGCCATGAAGACACTAACACTCGGATACGAAAGATTTTAAAAGAACCACGAAATTTGAAATATCTGTGACATGTTTATGATCGAAAGATAGATATTTTGTAATGAACTGAAAACGAATGTGCGATGACTGTTTTTGATTTCGCTTTTCTATTTTCACGACGAAACTATCTTTTAAAACTCTTTTCGTCTTGCATGTATTAAGAGGATGTGTTTTCATGTAAGTTATATTACTGGTTTGGACACCTCCACGATACAATAGTATCTCCATCCAGGCCCACATATCCAAATTAACACAACATTTGAAATTTATAAGAGAATCCGAATTCGAACCGGGATCCTTCGGTAATCATGAATCAGTAAAGAAATCAACCTGTCGCTCTGAGGAGCAGCAGACTGACTTTTTTACTGATTCATGATTACATTATCCATAAGTTACTATGGATAGTTTATTATAACTTATGGATAATGTAATAATCCATAAGTTACTGGAACAAATTTGTTTTTCGCTCAGAAACTAAGAAAAATTTCCAAATTTTATTATCATATATTACAATAGGTTTCATGCTTTATATTATTTACCGAATTATATAATTAAAATAAATAAAAGAAAACCAAAAATAAATTTTATTTTTTATCTTATTATATTATACTGTATCTTCAGTTTTACAGATATTTGTAAAATAGAAACACAGTACGTATTTGAATATCTGACATTTGTGTACTTAAGTCTAATTAAAATCAAACTTGAAAAAAGAAAACAAGATGTACAAAGAACAGAGGAGGTAGACAGCAACAAACCATAAATAAATAAATAAATAAAAGAAGTAAATGTTGAAAGTGACAGGTGGAATGTCGAATGCAAACATCAAGCAATGAAAACAAATAAATTCTCAGAAAACAGACATTGAAAATCTTCAACTATTTAAAAATTTGCATTACAAGAAAACTTTTTAATTTTTTATACATATAACAGAGTTACCTCTTGCCAATAATTGTAATTTTCCCTATTTACGCAAGATATATAAATGAGTGTAATTAGAATTTTGATTTAAGAATTTTTTTATTACTATTTTTAAAGATATTTTAAATGAACTTAAAGGTACTAAATTGATTAATTTTTTTCAAATTATTAATTATATTTTTTGCATAAATTCAACAGAATGTCACTATATTAATTAAATAGATAATTTTATCTTATAATTATTATGTTAGATAATTCTATTTAATAGCGATCCAACTACATAAATAAATTGCTTGAAGTAAAATAAATTAATTTTTACTTATTGTACCGTACTTATTTTCTTGCTTTAAAAATAAAATATATAAGTCTATTTTGAAGAAATAAACAGACCAACTTTTAAATAAGGATATGGAGAAGGAAGAATTTTTTGCGGTGATAATGGGGAAGAACATCCTTATGAAGAAATAAACTTAGTTGTTCGTGGTGGACGATACGGATGGATTGAATTAGAAGAATCAAAATGTAGCTCGCTAAAACAATGTCAAAATGTCTGTAAGTATAAATTTCTAAAAAATTAAATACATATTTAATAAAAAAATTCAACTATTGAAAATTTTAATAGAATTTTTTTTTTATTTTGCGTGCGATAAGATTAGTTCTGAAGACTGATTTCCCCCTCTCTCTTTTTTACTTAGTAAAACATAATTTAATAAACATAACGTAATATTTGACTAATAATGTCGAATAAAATGAAAAATAGGAAGGTTTAATATTATTATTTTACAGTTTTATCCTTCCACATAAGCTTAGATTTTACTAATGAATGATTCATTTTAAACGAGCAATATCGTGATATTGTCACAATGCCGGGCTGCAAGTTTTAATCGTATTTTTTAAATTTATTTAATTTAAAATATATACACTCCACCTCAAATTAGTAATGTCGTGTTCCTGTAATCATTAGCAATAGAGTCATGCTGGTCATCTATTAATTCCTTTCAGGGGAAAGGTGTTGAATTGAAATAACATGACTTCCAGTTTGCATTACAAGTTCTTATATAGTTAATTGGAGCCTCCTGCCCCCAAGGTTTCCATATCTGGTCTCGTCTTTCATCTATCTAACTCCATTCTCGAGATTAAGGAAAGACAGGCGGACAGACGAACAATTTAAACATGAGAATTTTATAAAATCATGTTTAAATTATAATAATTTAAATAAATTTCGCCGTATTTTCATTTCTTTTTTTGTTTTTAGTTCGTGAAAGTAATCTCCCATCCGAAGACCAGTTACCATTATACGAATACACCCATCCAAAAGGTCAAGCAATTGTTGGTATCGTGGTATATAGAGGACAAAATATTTCCTTTTTAAATGGAGCAATAGTATATGCTGATTTTGTTCAAGGGTAAAAAATTCTATTAAATAAAAATAATAAGTATTAATCATTAAAATAATTAAATTTTATTTTTGTAATCGTAAACATATTCCTGGCTCAACAGAAATGATACACAGTATTATAAAAATATTTGCAGCTAATAATATATAATAATTCTTGTGTTTGTAGCTCTCTCCACTATTTAGAAGAAACTTCAAATTATCAATGGATATCGAAAGATATTTCCGTTGAACTTTGTAAAGACGAAAATAAAAACTTTAATGGATCTTTTATTTTAGGTTTATCTTTAGATGAGGAAGGTAAGTAAGAGTTAAAATTAAACACCGATGTATTAAATTATTTCTAATTTTCTAAGTATTAAAACCAAGAGAAAAAGTAAATGGATAGTTAAATAAAACAAAATCTTTATTAGTTTCGTCATAATGCGGAAAATATGCTCTCAGACATACTTTCCTCATAGCAACGAAGTTAACTGACTCTTTGTTTCTTTCATAATTCTCAAGCATACTTAAGAAGTATAAATGAAACAAAAATGACAGTTCATTTACATACGTTTTTGTACTCTTTCCAGCCTACAAACACTAAAAGAGCTTTTAATTCAGTCTCATTATGAGTTCTATCAGATTTGCGATGGGTAGCCAGGTGATAAGAATGACAACAGATATATTAAGGCCAAATCAACTGCGAAAAATTTTATTTAAATAGTAGAAAACAATTCAAACTAAAATTCTAAATTGTTTGTGTGTTTCGTGTCTTTCAGAAATTCCTAGGCTTACATTTTTCTGATCTTTCTGAACATGTTTTAAGCACACAGTTCTATACAATTCTTATTTATAATGGTTACAATAGTACGTTATATTAATGTAGACTATTTTTTATTATATGACATTTAATATGCTAATTAACGCAAACATATATTATAAAATGACAGATAATTATAAACTCATACTTTGTATATATATTTATTTATTTGATTTTCTGTCATTGTCTTATTTACAGTATCTTGTGCCTTGACTAAAAAAAAATTTGAATCGTATGCATACTTTATCTTTCTAATTGTTATATAAATTTCTAATTTAAAAGTCATAAAAATTTGATGATTTTTCTGTTTAAATCTTCCAAACATTTTTAATATACAAAGTTAATAAATTAGTTAATATATTATTAATATACATTAGTCTATTTAAAAGTCTATATTGCTTATAGATCGTTCTATTTTATATTTTGAGGTAACTTAAATCTAAAATTGATTTGGTTTAAAATTTTTTATCGCTTATATAATGGCTAAATTTAGGGACTTATCACACTATTTAAAAAAAAATATTCAAGTAGAAAACAAAAGAGTATATTTGTAATATTATTTTTATGTTGGACATAATTCCGGTATAATTATAATGCCTTTTTTTAAAATATATTATAGTAACTTAAGCACCTGTAAATCCGAAAATGAATGTTGTGTTTTACGAACAACATTAAACTGAAGAGAGAGAGAGAATAGTCCGAAATGTATCTTTAACAAATAAAAATATCTTCTTTTCTATTTGAATATTTTCCAAAAAAATGGCGTGAAAAATCCTTAAATTTAGAAACTATTTCAAAAATTTAATTCGAATAATAGGACAGGAAACAATTTCTCTGTAAACATCTCATCATGTTAAAAAAAAAAAAATATTGTATTAAAATTTATCTACCTGAATGAACTTTTGTAAGAAATAATTAAATAATTTCTGTGTTATAATGTTATTTCCAGGTGAGATTATTGTGATGAAAACTCAAAGTTTAAACAGTTTTTCTGCGACAGGCATCTTATATCGACTTATTACTCAACCCGTTTCTTCCTCCTCAGGTTTGTGTTAATGCAACCTAGTTAATACTTTTTTATATACTTTAATACTTGCATTTTTAATTTCATTAATTTATTTTTAGGTGGTTATTATTCATCTACTTTATTAATTATAATTTTATCGATAGAAAGTTTAATATGAATGATAATTGAAACGAAATAAAATTAAAGGACAGAACCTAATAAATAGCAAAATAATAATTGAAAACAATTAATTTCATAGGCTAAAACTTTTTTAAACAGTTAATAGTCTTTTGGATTTATTAAATTTTTATCATTTGCTTCAGAATAATGAATATATTGATTAAATTCTTTATTAAAAAAATAAATTTCGAGAGAAGGATTGTGTTTCGTCCTTCCTAAATGCTTTATTCCTGAATTGCACAACACGTGTCTGGCGTAATAGTCGTTCACTTCTAAGTAGACAAGGTCAATTCAAACATTAACGTCTTAAGATGAGAAATGCCTTAGAATGTATATAGAATTTTGATGACATTGAAGATAAATAAGCAGGATGAAAAACGGTTTATATCGTACAGACTTTATTGAAATATGATAATCTTATTAAAATAACATAGGGTTAATTTTAAATAATAAATTCGACACTTTATAGATTAAAATATTAAACAAATAAACGTAAAAAAAAAAACTACCTCTGGAATGATACCGTTGTTGGATGGGGTCGTTGTTTGGAGGTTATTCTGTATGCATTTTTGTTCAAAAAAATTCCTGAAAAATGACTGCTTTTTAGGGGTGGCGGTTGTTGGAAGGTGATCATTATTGGAAGTTCGACTGTAATATATTCAATATAAACTTAAACTATGATGAAAAATCGAAATTATTCTTTATAATAAATTCTCAAATCAGTTTTATTAATAAAAATTTAAATAATTCACTCGAAAATATAATTCACGTGGGTACATTTCAAACTTAAATAAAAGAATGGATAATTTTTTAACTGAATAAAAGCATTTGCATTTTCAATAAATACTATTTTTGATTAGGAATAATAATTATTTATAAAGTTGTTATAAACTGTTTATTATAAAATTACTATAATATTAAACGTATGCTCATAAATATTAAGGATTTTTAATGTCTAAGTTTATATAACTTTATTATTCTAAAAATCGCATATGACACTTAATCCATAATTCAGATAGACTATAAACTTTAAGAACTTTATATAAATTCAAAATCACACGAAAAACATTTCGCAATACGCATAAGAATTATTAAGAAAAATTTATTATTTTGAGAAATTTGGCGATTTGGAAATTATTAAAAAATAAAATAAGGGTTATATTGGAAACTTAGCCTATTTCTTTATTTCTTTATTTTTTTACTTTAGCTTCTAGTGTTTTTTAATTATAATGTAAATCATGTTATAAAATAGCAATTGATTTTAATATTAATAATCTGCGTATTAATTAATTTATAATGAAATAGCTACAAAACAACGATCGTGAGTATATATCTACAATTACTGTATGTCATTTCCTACATCTTATCAATTTCCTTGCCTTGTATTTATTACCTGAAAAATATTTGAGATCTAGAAACCGTGGCTAAATATAAATCAGACTTAATGCAGAAAAAACCAAATTTCTAAATCTGATATGAATCAATTTATAGCATGAATTAATTGCCATGAATGATTCATAAACTTAATTCAATAAACGAGATACTGTATTTAATTAGAATGTTTTTATATCAATCTAAGCTGGAATTTTGATAAAAATTTTCAAAAATATGTTGTAGATACAAGCTGAGAATGAGAAGATTGAAAATTCGCGCATCTTTATTCTTTTCTAGTAGTCCCTAAATAATGAATGCAGATGCGTTTTTTATCGTAGCTCATACGCCATGTTAATTTGTTTGAGAGGATAAATTCCTCCATAAAATAATCTGTAGAAATTAATCTACGTGTGTCGCTTATGACGAAAAGTCTTCATATGACGAAAAATATATATACTGTAATATATATTTAATTCATTTATTCGGGAATATATAGGCCACTTATTTTGGCTTTTTCCGTTCTATAGGCACTTTAGAGATCCTTTTTATACAATCTTAGATTCGATCAGATACACAATGGCGCTAACGGATGTTGAGAGATAGAACTCAACGTATTCGGAAGATCACTCATTAAAATTTCTGAGGATTCGACCTAGACGAAACATCAGAGCGATACCCTGATGCTTCGATCATCCAGCCATCATCAGGCCGTTCTACGAATCTTGATCTGAATGGCGTTATTCAACTGCAAGGACCAGTAGATTTAAATAAAATGAAGTAAACTAGTTATTTGAATTTTCATGCAATATAATCAGTTTTAACCAATAATTTTAATTTGTTTTACGACTATTGTATTTGATACATCTTCGTTGAAATCTGTTAAGACAGGGCTGTCCAACTGGGGCCCGCGGGCCGTATACGGCCCGCCAAATAATTTTTACGGCCCCCGAGTACATTTTACTATGAATAAATTTATGTTACTAAATTATTATTATTAATATTAAAATTATTTTACTATGTGAAAATTTAAATCTAATTTGAATTTAAAGTAGGTACTATTTAGTTTGCGTAACTTCACTTAACCTGGCTGAATACAGCAGCAACCTTCTTGGCCCCCGAAATGTTTGGTGAAGAAAATATGGCCCGCGGGCTATGATAAGTTGGACAGCGCTGATNTTGACTTTGGCAATACAAAAGCATTGTAACATTGAAATAGAACATATGATGTAAGAATATTTAATTTGAAAATATAATACTTGAGAATACATATGATAGGTCTACCTATCTACCACTAGCCAGACATACCACCAATGTTAATAATTTATTAGTTAATTATGTTTAGTTTATGTGGTCCAGGATCTATTTCCAGGCATTGTTAAGTTCCATAGCAACATTGTTGTTTATCACAGTTATGTAAGTACATGTTAATAATATTAAAACTTTATCTTTTCCAAATATAAAAAAACTGCTAAAATGAAATGCAAATAAAGTATTTGTACACGTGACTTTTGTATTTATATTGTTAAAAAGCATTGGGCTTTGAGATGTTTATATATGTACCATTACATAAAGTGTTTTTATATCTAAGAAAATCAGGCTACTTTACCGCTACTACTGTATTACTAATTAAATTCTATGTAATTTGGTACTAGAGGTAGGCATTAGTTACTATCTCTTATTAAATTTAATAATCGTAATTAAATTAATATTTACTAAATAATTTAGAATAATCTGGAGGAAAACAATTGGCCCAGAGTGGAACTTGAACCCGCAACTCCCACTTACCGTGTAGCATTGCCAGTTGTGCTACCTGGACCTCTGTCCAACCCATTTAATTTTAGATATAACCATCCATGGTTACTTATAGCATTGACTGGGAACGACTCCTATGACCTTTGCCCAATTCATTGCTGTTTTTGATAATTCCTGCTGATGCTATCAGTATGAACTATCTAAAACAAACATTTATCACTGTCTATTCTGTAATGCAGCAGTTCCTAAAGCGTGAGTCACCAGAAGCATTGTAGAAAGTCACAAAAGGTTTCACACAATAAAACAAAAAAGCCATATTAACATACATTTTGTATTTATAACAAACAATTAGTGTGAAACATGTGCCTGTTTTTTAAGAAACTACCTTTTCAAATCTAGGCTCTGTATTCAAACACATAATTAAATCATTTTCAAGTTCAAGGAAATTTCTTGGTAGTCGATGACAAACATTTTTCAGAGATACATACAAGGTTGCAAATGGTATCATAGTTATAGAAAGAAAGACAAAATAGTAGGGGGTCGTAATACCACACTGTACTACAGGGCTGTCCAACTGGCAGCCCGCGGGCCGTATACGGCCCGCCAAATAATTTTTACGGCCCCCGAGTACATTTTACTATGAATAAATTTATGTTACTAAATTATTATTATTAATATTAAAATTATTTTACTATGTGAAAATTTAAATCTAATTTGAATTTAAAGTAGGTACTATTTAGTTTGCGTAACTTCACTTAACCTGGCTGAATACAGCAGCAACCTTCTTGGCCCCCGAAATGTTTGGTGAAGAAAATATGGCCCGCGGGCTATGATAAGTTGGACAGCGCTGTGTTAAGACAATGGCGGAAAAAGTGTCATGGTCCCCCCTGGTAAAAAATGTCGTAGGCCCGTGAAGTTTATATTTTAGTTAAATTACACATATATCACATATTCAAAATTCTGTACTTTTGTATTAAAAATTTGAAAGTTATTGAAATTATTATTATTTGCAAAGTATTAATATCTAATCGGGTCCTGGTGGCTCGGGTTCGGTGCACTGCACTTTCTAATTCGCCACTTTAATTAAGAGGATTATTACTGTAAATCGTAGTTCGTTACATTCCTTTTCAATGCCGGGAAAAAGTAAAAACAGATTATTTTCGATGAATGTACGAGTATTATATATGTCATTCCTAGAACAATATATCAATACACTATCTGACTGTTAATAAAAATCAAATTTTTGTGACTATTATAATTAAAATTTAATAAGAATTTAAAAAGAAATGCCAAAAATATTCTTTCATAAGATAAACATGAATTATCTGATGTTCTTTTTTTTTACTCTTTCCAACCTCAGTTCTACTATAGGGGAGATCGGGGCAACTTCGGCATGCGGGGCAAGTTTGTCAAGCGCTTTTTTTAAAAAACAAATTAAAAGGAGACTTTGGTTATAGGTTAGGCAGTTGAGTTTTATTGATGGCTTGTTGAGTGTAGTGTTTTTATTGTTCTCCAACAAGCGTAGTTGAATTATCAAGCAAATTTTCATTTTCGTTCAATTCCATATAATATTTTT